GGCAAAGAAAGTCATTGATCAAGTTCCTGTCTCTTATACACATCTAGATGTGTATAAGAGACAGCATTTACACTTATAAAATACATGGAATATAGTCATATATTTATCATATCTGAATTATAATCAACTTTAAAAAAGGCTTCCCTCATAAATCAGCAGTGGTGCCAGAGATGCCTACAAAGGGGTCAATGTCTGAAAAATGGGAAATTTTAAGGATAGGCTGAGAAATGACACTCTTAGATGGTAAAATGCATTTTCAAAGGGTCTTAATCTGAAAATTACCCGACAAAATTATTGGCTTCAGGACACCCTGACATTGTCATCAATATGCACATTTTTTAACTCCGGAATGAACAGTTTTTATACATCTGGCCAAAAAAACATAAGGGACCACTTAATAATCTCTTGATAAATAATAATATTATTAATAATAACAACAATAATAATAATAATAATAATAATAATAATAATAATAACAACAATAATAATAATACAAAAAAAAAACCATTCTTAATCCATTTGAATGCTGGGCTTGTTACTTACAGAGTGAATAACATACAATTAAATAACTTCGACAAACTCGACCACAACAAAATCGTCATAAAATACATAATATAGTAATCTCAGACTTTGGGTAGAGCATTTCCTTAATTATTGTCAATAATCAATTACAATTTTTGATCAATCATATATTTTACTATATTTGTGGCATCAACTAAATTTCATTTCCAACATATCTGTTTACAGTACATTAAACATCTTTTCAGATTCATAATTATTTTTAATTCCTGGTTCTCTAAATGAATAAAAACTCAATAAATTTGTTCATTTTATCAGTATCCATAAAAACACCTTATTAGTGCTATATATATTTAACAAGATTTGATTTTAGTATTAATTTTTACAACAATAATAATAACAATTTGAATACCACAATCATAAAGATAAAATGAATAACTATAATACCCACAGCAATGGCAAAGTACAGTAATATGAAAATAATAATAATGACTAATAAATATAATAACAGTAAAAATACTTATACTACTAACAAATAGAAGTAAAATACAAATAAGAATCTAAAATATTCAATACATCTTTAACACCAGCTACCAACTTGAATACTTTGGAAAAACAATGGACTGGAATTCCTCTATAAAACTGTGGTATTTTCTTTATTGTAACAGACCTTAGTGAATGTATAATATTCATTATCATCAATATAACTGAGGTAATGGTGGGATAACATACATCCAGATAATAAAACACGGACATAATCATAATTATATCATTATAATATTGCTTAACTTTTCTATAGCTATTTACAATTAAGTATATAACTGATTTCTTATAATCATTAATTACATAAACATATAAAAAGTGAGGTTGTAGGACAAAAGTTATCAAGGCCAAGACGCCAGAACAAAAAGGATCAGAACATGGGCGATACCATTGTGACATAGGTGTTGTATAATGTGGGTTCTGTCGTTGGTGCTATTGCCCGATTACCAAAGGTTAAACACTGGCTACTGTACTAGAATATATTTCCCACTAAATATAGTTATTCCATTAAATATCATATTTTTCCTAATGTATTACTTTCGCATTATTATGTATTCCACAATTTAGACTTTCTCAACGTGTTGAAACCCTACACATTACGCATTTCAAAACCACTATAACTAAAACCATAGATAAATATAGACACAGTATTTACTGTAATGTTATGCTTTCTTTCATCTTATCTATTGACAATTTTTACATTGGAAGAACATACTGGGACAGGCCGGAATAAAATGTGAAAAATACATCACCTAGGCAACGTTACCTCATGGCATTCCATTGGCTGATTTTTGTGATTGACTACTTGGGTTTGATTGGCTAAGACGGGAGACTTCTGTTGACAACATTTCTAAATTCTGCAAAAAATGTAGACGTTTAAGAGAAAATTGTTAAAATTATAAATTTTATAGGATCATAGTACTGTAATACTGTTTATTTTCTTCTCTTTGTTGTTGTTAAGCGCATCGATGTTGTGACAACGTGAGGCGCTATATAAATTCAGAATTATTATTATCTATTCTTACCAAAACTGAATAGGAATCAAAAATATCATCACACAAAATCATTAGATTTAAAATAATATCAACAACAAAAGGCATATAAACATGTATAATAACTGAAGAGAATAAAAACAAGGAAAATTTCAATATGATAAAATTAAGTACTAAAATATTTGACGATGTTCAAACTCCTATTGGTTACATATTTCCTTATGTCGTTGCTAGGTTATTCCTTTCTCTGGCAGATTTATACTGAAAGGTTCTGTTACCATGATTGTTAATCTAATTTGGTACAATTAAAATAAGCACCGACAGGTTTGACCTGGGGATCTCCTGTTTACTACACTGACACTGCAACCAACTAAGCGACAGCGGTACAGTATCCAGTGGCTTATCTTGATCATGGCCCACTAAAAAAATACTTGCCCCTGAACGAAAATGCTTGAAGCAAATAAGTTTACCTCTTGCAAGTGCATATTTTTTGTGAGTGTTTCTTCCAACATGATCTGCAATTTATGGTTCATCTCCTTCATGTTATCACCTTCTTCAACACCTTTAACAAAATTCATCATCTTCCTCAACGGCATCTTCTTTTCAGGTGTAACAGTTTTTGACGGATCTGATGAAACAAAAAGCATATGGTAAAAACCTAGAAAATGTCTAAAATTTCTACATTTCATGTCTGTCAAACTTTATTTGATAAAAGCATGTGACATGCCTAAATATGGTCATGATGACATCACATGATGACCATATATAGGCATATCATTACTATATATAGGCATACAACAGTGATTTGTCAAAGAAAAATCTGATTGTGTATTCCAGAGATTCCCCACCAAGGTGTTCTAAGGTCTTTGGCTGGGGTTAAAGTTCCTTGACAAGATCTCCAAGATCCTGCAAGGGAGACCACACCCACCTCAGACTACACCCATGTCAACCACACCCACCTCAACCCCACCAGCAAGGAAAGAGCAAATGTAAATGATGCCAATTAATGGCAGTTTTAGACTGTAAAAATGGTCGTTCACATTAGTGTACCCCAACAAAATTATTACATCCCCACAATGGGTACGGGGTTGCCCAACAGTGATCCACGATTGCCTAACAGGGATCCAGGGTTGCCCAACAGGGACCAAGTTCTCCCTGGATCCCTGATGGCGCTGCCATTAGTATGCCATGCCGAGCGGTTAGCAGGGGCGCCGCAAGCTATAGCCATAATATCGGCTCTGGTTCGAACAGCACGCTCGCCTATGGTTCTGGTGGTAGAACAAGTCTTCTTGGATAAGAACTATAAACCGTAGGCCCAGTGTATACAATGGCTCATGTGCACTATAAAGAACTCAGTACATCCTTCGAGACGAGTAGGGGGATACCCCGGTGTACTGGTACAGACAGCTTCTGTGGTGGACGACGAGAGTTGCTGGTACCGGGTAGCCCAGACACGAAGGGACCCTTAGGGGCAAAGAAAGTCATTGATCAAGTTCCTAGTCCACATATCAAGCGCCCTGAGTATCTTACAATTGATGGATATGTACGCTATATAAAACTACCTATGGTGCGTCTCTCCATCACGTGTGTTCCAATTATTGCAGTTTTCTTTAACAAGTCATCGGCCATTGCAGCATTACTCTCTTCCAAATGCCGAACCTGGTACCAAAATAATAATAATTGTCAATACTAATGTTCCACTAAAAATATATTAGCTACCTATTTTTACACAAGCACTGTCAAATTTAATTGGTTGTTGTGACATTCACATATTCCCATAGAGAATAACATTTTGGCCAAATGGTTTGGCTCTAAGTGCAGAGATGCAGAATACAAGTTGTTATTATTGACCTTAATTTTTGCCATCAGATTCAATTAAAAATATAAAAGGCTTATGTATGAATTAACTAAGTGCTTCTCTACGGCTGCTAAAGCAGTCATGGACTATACCCATATGCAATTCAGCACAGTGAAGCTTTGAGTTTTGGGTTATCTCCTTAGTTTAAGGAATAGGATTAGTTTTAGGATTAGTTTTAGGATTAGTTATCTCCTTAGTTTAAGGAATAGGATTAGTTTTAGGATTAGTTTTAGGATTAGTTTTAGGATTAGTTATCTCCTTAGTTTAAGGAATAGGATTAGTTTTTATATATTCTTTTTGTTCATGTAAAGTGCATAAAGGCAATTTATTGTATTATGTTATATATAAGACTTACATATTATTATTATTATTATTATAATACGGTTAGGTTAAGTATTACTTTCTTGGTACGTTTTTTCATGTTTATGAGGTCTCCATAATATGTGAGGTCTCACTACAAAATGAATCTCATCGTTAGAAAATCAAAAAATTAGTTAATATTACATTTTGGTAGATCACATTGTAAGCTTTAATTCTGTCTTTGAATGGCTTTCCTAGGATAAATAGATCCAGAGATGTTAGCATTTAAAGTTCAGGTGTATGAGAACCAGGTTATAAGAAAATCGGCTTCAAAGATAAACTAACCTGTACAAATAATAGGACTAGAATTACAGAATATGCGAAGAGAACACTGTTTTAGTAAGAAAATTCACTTGAAAAGTACACAATCATAAAATATAAGTATCAAGTTATTCAAAAA